CTAGGCGTTTGAGATCTTTGATCCTTGAACCTTGTAGCCTTGTTGTGCACCTTAGCCAACACCTACCAATCTTGTTCCTTAACTTGTACAACCTAGGCCGAGGTGTGTCACACCTAGGCCAAGGGTAACCTCTCCTAGCCGAGGTCAGGAAGACCTTACCTGTTTGAAGCCTAGGTTTTGATTTCGAATCCTTGCTTTATCAGAGTTGTCCATACCACCTTACTTGTTATATGTACTTTGACCTACTCTTGTCCTATCATTTTGGCACTTTTGAGGAGACTTGGCCAGATAATGCCATGTGTCCTAGTAGTGGTATTAGTTAGTTGATAGTGGAGAAATCCATATCATTTGCCATATCTTTGTCTTGAAGAGAGGGAAGCTTTACGAAAAAGAAGTTCTTTGAGGGAGTTAGATTTTCCAAGCTTAATTTTCATACTTTGAACCATTTGATTTATGTTTTGAGGTTAGATTCTTGATGTACTTTTGTTGTTCTTTATATTGATCTGATCACATTGCATGATCTAGCATGATTCATGAGCCATGCATTAACTTAGAGATTTATTTTAGAGAGAGAAAGTGATGTTCTTGTGTTCTTGAAGAAAAGCTTTGTTTTGATTCAAAAGTTTGTATCAAGTTCTATGTTTTTGTATATGTTTTCATGAAATCTTCAAGTATGGGTACCCAGGTCTATGTTTTTGAATTCAAATAATGAAATCTCAGATTTTAAATAAGGAGTTATGATTTTGGCATTCATATTCTTTATCTTCTTTAAAGGGAAACCTAGATTTCCAGGTTTCATTATTTCCTAAGTGTGGTCACCGAGACCCACTCTTGTCCAGTTTCCACACCTAGGCCAAGCATTGCATCTCATTTTTTCCTACATTGTATGATCACTTGCACCTTGGTCTACCTTCCATGCACACCTAGGCCGACCACTGTACACTTAGGCCGACACCTTATAACATCCCGGGCAAGCAGCCCACATCTCGGCTAAGGAGATCACACCTCGGTCAATAAGTGTGGGACCTCATCCAAGACATCTTGAGTTCACCTAGGTAGGCCATTTTGGCCTAGCTCATCTCTGTGCATCCATTCCGAGACTTGGTTTGTACCCAACATGCCTTTCCAAGAAGAAAAATATTGATTTAACTTCCAGCACATGTTTTGCTCTGTTTTAACTTGGTTTTGGAAAGAAATGCCAAGATTTATTTTACTTATTTGAAACTTGTTTTGAGAGTGCATTGCATAACCATCTTTGAGCATCTCTTATTGTCTTTTTGAAATGCATTCAATGGGATTTACCATGTATTTGTAGGTCTTGGATCTTGTCTTAATCCCCCTCGACCAAGAAGGTATTGTGAGTCGTATTTTTAATAAAGTTATGTTATAATGTTTTGACAAAAGCTTTGCTTTGTTTTGAAAAGTATTTGATAAAGCATAAATGATTATCCCTTACTTTTTTGTATAAAGTATTATGTTTGTTTTGATGGTATTCTTAAAAGGTCATTGTGTGCTAGGGGATTCTAATACAACTAGTACCTTTGTTTGAGATATGTCTTTTGCCACCGATGGGTGGGCTTGTATAATCGATTCTGGGTCGGTTATTCTTTTGTTTTGTCAAAGAATGTTTGTCCTTTGTATTATGTAGATGTTAGTAAGCATCCCTTGAAGCTTTGAAAGCCTTTAATTGATGAACTTGGTTCACCCTTTGATTTTATTATAAGTTATGATATGTATTGTTTTGATAAAATCTCAGATATTATTCATTCAAGCATTTATTACTTATATGATTCACTGAGTTTTCAGTTTACCTTTATCTCTTATATATATGTAGGTGATAAGCAAGAAGACGATGTCGCCTAAGCTTTATTTGGAAAATGTTTTGGGTTCATGTTTTGTTATCATCTTGAAGATTATGCATCTTAGCTTTGTAGATCCTTTCTTTTGTATGTTTGGGCTTGAGAAGCCTTTTAATCAAGATGTAAAATAGGAATGTTTATGAACAAGCTTACTGTCTTATGTATCCAAGTTATAAAACCATATTAATATTTATGTATCTCAATATATGACATTTTATTTGATCTATGCACATCTTTTATGAATTATTTAGATTTAAATTTATTGCTCCCGCACATATATGTCCTATATATTTTACTCGGTATGTGTGAATCTTTGTGAGTTAGCCTTCGGTAATTTAAGATTGTTGGCAAGCACAACATCATTCTGTTAGGGGCGAAATGGGGTCGTGAAAGTTACAGTAGTCTTTATAATTTATGAGTAAGAAAAGAAAAATGTAAGGTTTTGTGTGGTGTTACTTGTACATATAATATATTGTTTGTCAATCTTTTAGCCTAAAAGTTAAAAAATCACTAAGAAAATCAAAAAATCAACAATCTATACCAAAAAGTCAAAGATTCATTTTTCTTTCTATTTTTTGCATATCATTTTTTGTAAAAAGCCAAAAAGTCATCCCAAACATATTATTATTTTTTTACCTCATATTTTAGTCAAAAAGTAAAAAAGTTGCTAAAATAACATATTTCCAAACAAGGCATTTTAATATCCTCCGATGACAAATAATTTATGTATATTTAATTTGTGTTGGTCGATTGTTTGGTGTCTTTTTCCAAATTTATTTAAATTTAATTCGAATTTTAGAATTTTTGTTATAAAATTCAAAAATAGTTTATCCAAATTTACTATTTATTTACTACTATTATAAAAGTATGAAGAGTCTGTTATGTTTTCTACCTTTTTAAATCCTAATTTAACCCTCTCAAATCTATTATATTTTCTAAATGTTATGCAAAGTCCTATAGAAACCAACTATTTCTTTATTTTTGGAAATTTTAAGCCTTATAAAAAGAAAATTTAACATTAATTTTCTATATATACATTTAGATAAAAATAGTTCCAAGAGTCCTATACAAATATAAACAAACCGTCCCCCTTTATATATATATATAAATATAAGTCTCCATATTTTTTACATTAATGATAATTGAAGAATGAAAAATAATTAATCTTTATTATTTCTTGTGTCTGCTTCTATACCGATATACATAATATATACAATTGTTTATCATGAATCAAATCACTGTGAATAATTTTGGTTGAATATTAAAGTTGCATGCATTCGTTCAAATTCAAACAGAGGAAAGCATATGCATTTTTAAAATAGAAATTTGTGTTGCATCTCAAAAATTCACAAGTTATCTTCTTACACTTTCTTTTTGTTTAAATTATATTTTATGAACTATAATATTTTACATGATACTTTAATAACCAATGTACGATGTCAAATAACCACTTTTATTGGTTTTATTTTTTAAATCTATTTTTCAGTTTTTAGTTTTTAATTTTTCATATTTTCTTAGTTTTGGTTATTAAAGATGCTAGAATTTCTTCATAGTTTATATTTAAATTATACTTTTACAAGAAAATTTAATATCTAATAATCTAAATAGAATTAAAAAGTAAAATATTGGTAAAAAATTTATAAATTAAAACCTGTACTGATTTTATTATTATTATTTAATATTAATAATGCTTTTTTTCAAAAAGAATACATAATAAATTATTTTCTTAGTGTATAAGTAAAATTAAAAAATAAAAAAGTATTAAATTAAGTGAATCTAAAAGAAAAATAAAAAGGATTATTGAAAAAAATAGTGTTAAACACGAAAAACATATAAACTAAAAAATTCAAAACAAAAATTTAAAAAACGAAACTAAAACCAAACACTATAAACTTCTATTTTTTTAAAATCTTTTGTCACTATTATCTAATTTTACACAAATTATTCACAAATTTCTTTTAATTTTTATGTGAATTTAATAATCTAATTAAAAAATAGTACATACACATAAAAATGTAACACTAAACGTCTACATTATTTACGACCTACTATTTAATTATGAATAATTAATTTCTCATCGTTACCTTATTATATTGTTGCAAAAAAATTCACATATTACTTTTGTGATAGTTTATATATCTTAATGTCCACATATATATATATAAATATAAATGTAAATTTACATATGTTATTGTATTCATACATTGTCAATCTGCAATGTTATATTACCATCAGATACTTTGATTTTATAACATATATCGCTTTAGTAATATAGTTATATTTACCTAGAAAAAATTGTGGAATTGTATATTGCATCTCCAATCAACTAGGTTCAGTACGTATATACATATATGTCATACAAATAAATATCCACAATAAACACATTTAATAACAAACCAAGACTTTACAAAACACTTATATCATGATAATAATTGTACTTTCTATATTTATTTTTTTCACGACAATTGTATAGTAATTGTATACTAATGAATGATATTATATTTTTCATCATGTAAGATATTCGTGACATAGGAAACGAGACTCAACAATTTTTGATGTATAAAAATATATTACATATTGATATTAATGCATCCTTATACCAATAATATAAAATAATATGCAATAGTGAGTCTAATAAATTTGTATTATAAAACGAACTATTAAACAAAATTATGCAATTGTGCAATTAATTTCATACATTCAACAATATTATAGGTATGGATTATGAAAAATTGAAAAGAGAAGTTGATAAAAAAAGATTTGTGTAAAACTATATATTTAAAGGATCTGTTTATTATTTATTATTTAAGATAAGATTGTGATTTCAACAATCTAACTATAAATTAATATTTTTATTTATAAAATTTCTTATCTATCATTTAAATTCTTTAACCGAATATGTATTAATTTCTTATTTAGTTATATTTTTTATACAGATCGATTTATTTATACAAATCGGTATACTTTATATGTATATCAAATATCAATTTAAGAAATACGGATAATTATAATACTAACAATTAATAAAAAACCACATAACACGTCCAACACGTACCCAACCATTAATCATAAAAAAAACTATTTATCCAAATTTCATACTTTATTAAATTAATCTATATTACTGACCCTACTTCTGTGATCCAGACTTTTCCAAAAGAAAAAGTTTGTTTTGGTGGGTGAAGGTGTAATTTGCCCTTTGGCATTGGGCCTCCCTGCAAGTAAAAAGCAAAACGCATACACAGCGCCTCTACCCCGACTCTCCGAACCAACGAAGAAACTCAGCAACCATGCCGACAGGTCAGAGAACCCGTCTTCCCTTCCTCACTTCGATTTCAATTTCTATGTACTTGATTCAAAATCGAACCTCACATGCTTGTTTTTGGAATCCCACTCTTTTGTTTTTGTTTCAGCTTACGATTTTTTCGTTCATTTGCTGCATCTCTGTTTATGTTGTTCTTCTATCCAAGTGACATATAGGGTTTGATTTCTACTTATATCTTGAAATTTATGTATTGGGTCGGTGGCAAATCTGGAGCTCATTCTCTGTGTGTACTGGGTTTCTGTGAATGATTAGTATCTCAAATAACTGGCTTTTTGGGGTCTGGCAATATTTTAAAGGCCATCCCTTTTGTGTGAACCATTTTTTGGTGAATGATAGTTGCATGGTGTAAAGATTTCAATATTTCACTTCCATCAACTTCATCCTTGAATAATACATCTCTCATGTTTGGCACATTAAATAAATGATTTGCAATTTCATATAAATCAGAACTCTCTAATAAATTAAACTTAGGGTAAACAACCAATAGGCCAATAGTTGAACTTAATTCTCATAAAATACTATTAAAAATAAGTCATAGTAAAATCGTCGTTAAAAAGTATGTCGCTAAAAATTAACAATTAGTGACTTTTTTATCACGGTTTTTATAAATTGTCGCTAAAACATACAATTAATTGTGTTTTTCTGTGACGAATTTTTCAAACAGTCGCTCAAAGTTGAAAATTAGTGACTTTTTTTTGCGACGATTTTTTTAAACTGTCCCTAAAACTTATAATTAGTGATATTTTTTGTGACAAAATTTTCAAATTATCGCTGAAAATTAGCAATTATTGACATTTTTTAATAGTATTTGATGAAAAACACCATTAATCATCATAAGACCTATTGGATAATAAGTCCAACTCATTAGAACCTACGCATAAGTCTCCCTTAAACTTATCTCCACCAATGTCCCATAGTTTGGTATACCCCAATGTACCCATCCCGTATCCATGGAATACCAACTGCCAATGAATGTATAAAACGTACCCAGTACGTATTTCAAGTATCCGATACTCTGTAGAGAGGAAGAGGAAGGAGAGGGAATGAAGAAGAAAAGAATAGAAAAGAACAAAAGGGCAAAAGTTTCACTAGGTTAAAAGTTAGCTTTTTGACTTTTTTTTTTTTGTTTAAACTTTTTTTTGAAAAAACGTGTAAAAAAGTAGAGAGGTGATGTAACCCAAAAGAGGTTAAAAGTCAAAAAGTTGGCTTTTAACCTCTTGCCAAATGTATATTTCTAGATTCACACATGCTCAGTTTAATGTGTTATACATGCATGGTTAACTTAGCTAGAATCTGTAACTTCTGCGCTTCACCCTCGATCTCAAGGCCGTCATCAAGGAGGTAAATTTCTTCGAGCAAAATCATAAGGGGGTAAAATGTAATTAACCCTAGAAAGTATGCATACCACTTTGATATAAAAAATGAAATAAAAAAAGTGACACCTATCTCTTGTATGAATAAAATTGACTCTATAAAATTGATGCTATTAATTATAATGTGAAACAATTGGAGATAATTTCATTATACATTATGAAATGCTGATAAAATAAAGAATTAATAAGTGATTTTCATAAAATAGAAGTCATCTTATTATATATTTTATAAATAATCATGAAATATAAGGGTAGTAGTTGAATTTTCAAAAACATGGAGGGGTCTGTGGCCTCCCTCTGTCCCTACATGGTTCTGCCCTTAGCAGTGTTGCTTTTGTATAGAATGGATCAAGTATACCTTATGGTATTTTGATGCCAAGACAAGAGCCTTATGGATCAAATATACCTTATGGTATTTTGGATAGAGTCACTTATTTGAAGGAGAAAGGGAGAAGTTTTGTCAATTTTGAAGTGGAGAGAAGAGAAAATAGGACAAAAGTGGTTATTTATTTATTTATTTTTAACTCGGGGAGGGAATAGGGAATGGTAACACGGTGGGACTGGGTTTGTGGCCTTGTTCTCGTCTTGTTTCATGTTGGGGTAGGGAAAATCTAAGAGGTAGTGGGGCTAGGGTAGGAGTGGGGAAGTGCCAGGGTAGTTTATCACGTTTAGGAGGGAAGATACTAATGAGAGATGATAAAGTATACTGATGGACAAAAATCATTAAAAAATCAAATCTAAGAGATAGAGAAGTGAAAAATGAGATATATGTGAATACTGTAGTGATTTACTCTTATTATATTAACTATATAATTTAATATATATGGGTATATACAAACAAAAAATATTTAATTAATATAATCGGGTTGGGTGGGGAAGCTTGGCTTGTCTCTAGTTCACAAGGTGGACTGCATTGGACAATTTGTGTTCATAAACTCACTATGAGCTTATTTTGATAATATGATATGTTCATCTTATAGGTTTTATGTAAATCATCATAAAAAAGTTAAAATTGATTTGATAATTATAGCCACATAATTTCATTATATTTGTCTTAAAAAATAGATTATTTATTTCAAAATGATAAGTATAATTTATATTTTGGGAAACAAATATAATAAAATCATTTTAATACAATTGTTAGATTAATCTATATATTTTTTTTATATAAACAATTTACACAAAGGAACCTATAAAATTTACAAATCAAATCATTGAGCAAAACTCCTGATAAATTCATGAGCCTGAACTATAGAGGTGGCACTAGCAAATTTACACTTGCCCTGCATATAAGGGCGATCATGTCAATGGTCAGGAAAGAGCGATGTCATTTTTTGTTTGCAATCAACGTCTGTGATTTCCCAATTGGACTTCAAAAGTAAGATCACATCAAGGTCACCTTATGTTTTGTGTAGAAACTTTTTAAACAAAAGGTATTACTTTGGTCTCTCGATTGGGCTATTAGGCTTTCCTATGCAGCTTGAAGGGAGTCTCTACAGCTTTCATCTAAAGATCAAGAAATATTTCTCTATGAGGGTTCATAAATTTAAATTGTTTCTTTCTTTTGTAAGTTCTACAGACCAGGGAAAACAAACAACCATGATTGGTAGTAATCCCTCAAAAACTATTAGGTTGTTGCTTTATTTATTTTTTTATGGTAATGTAATATCTAATTTTGATTGGCAATATCTAATGTTTCTTTTGATAACTTGATGATGATGTTTGAAGGGTTGGTAATATTTTGGGAGTTTAGTTTGATACTTTTCTTGGTATAGTGTGTTGATAGGTATTCTTTTCTTTTCTTTTTGTAAGTTGGTGAATTTATTTTGAGGAACTCTAATTAATTGTGAGTTACCCAGAAGCTTCAATGGTGATTGTGTCTTTCATCAACTTAGTTACTCTAAGAATACACATTTTGTGGTTTATATTGCTTGATGATTGTGTTTTTCATCTTGAAGACTTAATTTTGGCATATTTTCTAGCATTGATTTTTTATAGTAATGTAATATCTGATGTTTCTTTTGATAATTTGATGATGATTGTTGAAGGGTTTGTAATATTTTGTGAGCTGAGTTTGCTACTTTTCTTGGTATAGTGTGTTGATAGGTAATTTTTTTCTTTTCTTTTCTTTATATTTTATTTTTCGTAACAAATGATAGGTGAATTAATTTTGAGGAACTCTTAGTTACCCAGAAGCTTCAATCGTATATTTGTCCCCCCATCATTTGAGGATGTTAAGGGATATAGACATGGTACTTGTGTGTCAATAATTTAAGAAATCATGGAAGTTATCTCATGATGATTGATTGGATGGGTTGAGTTTGCCTAACGTCATCCCTTTGATATCTCTTTGCTTATGTTGACACTTTTGAATAATTAATCCCATATATATATAGGGACAAAGCCATAAATTTTTGTTTAACGGGGCAAAGGTAAGTGTAGTGAAAAAAATTAAGTTAAACTTTTGGTAGAAAAATTTCTTAAATAAGGTTATGAAAAATTAATAAGAATGAATTGATCTATATCAACCGTTCTCTAATAATTATTTCAATTATTTGATATAATTATTACTATTTTTTTGATAAATAATTATTTGATATAATTATTAAGTTATATAATTAGGATCTTAGACTAGATTGTCATTTTAAGGCATTTTATTGGTTGATAAAATATATTTTTTGGTACATAGTTGGGGGCAATCCCACGTACATTGTAAGAATACTCATGAAGTAGAGGATCAAACCAAACCAAACCCTGTGTCCCAATCACGTAGGGTTGTCTACATTAATTCTTTCTCGTCATTTCGCGTTGTCATGGGCTATGCTCAGTTAAATTAAATGAATTCATATCATTTTTTACCGTCACAATCCATGTTAATATAGGTCTGTCCCTCCCTATAACATTTCCATTTACCATCTTTGTTGTACATGACCAAATCATCTTAGTCGGTTCGCTCTCAACTTGTCTTCAATTGGTCCTACTCCCATCATCTCACAAATATAATAATTTCCAATTTTGTCTTTCTAAATCTTAACACACATCTAAGTATCTCCATCTCAGCTATACCCATTTTATTAACGTTTGTGTTGTTTTTTAGTAGCGCAACGTTTTATCAGGTAAAGCATTGCTGGCCTTATAGCAGTTCTATGGAATTTCCTTTCAATTTTGTTGGTATTTGTCGATTACGTAACATGCTAGAAGCACTCCTCCACTTGAGTTAATTTACTTTGATTCTATAGATCACATTTTCTCCAACCTCTCCATCATTATTAATAATCAAACCTAAGAACATAAATATTCACAGTTTGTTATACCTTGCCTTGCAATACTTACTCCTCCATTATTTGTAATTCTAGTCACTCTGTTTGATTTTAGTTTTCAGAATTCACTTTTCAAAAAATTCTACTTTTTTGTTTTTCGTATTTTTTTTTTGGTTTTCATTGAATTTTTTTTAATATTTTAAGCATTTTTTTATTTTAATTTTTAGACAAACCTAACATAAATACACTTAAAAAATATAATATTTGTAAAAATAACATTTAAAAAATTCACTAAATACCAAAAATACAAAAAAATAAAATAAAATAAAAAATGCAAGTTCAATACATTTTTCGTATTTTTGTGTATTTATTAATTTTTGAAAATATTTTACTAGTTACATACATTTAAGTAAGTGCATCTAAAAAAGTAAAAAAATTGCTTAAAATTTTAAAAATATTTACTAAAAAAAAAACACGAAAAACGAAAAACTTAATTTTCAGAAAACTGAATTCAGAAAACTAAAACCAAACACACTGATTGTTACTGAAGTTACTTTTCATATATATATTTAGTTTTATTTATTTATTTACTAATTTTAAACCCTTTTAACTTGAGGGCTTCTCCTTCTCTCCAAAATGTTAATTTCTTCGTTAGTTTCATCCACCAGAACAATATCATTTGAACAACATAGACCATGGGATATTATCTTGAATGTGTTTAGTTAATTCATCGATGACTAAGCCAAATAGGTAAGGACTTGAATAGAGGGTCAATAGACCATCCCATATACATTGTAAGAATACTCATGAAACAATGGGTCAATAGAAGAATTTTTCAAAAACTTAGGGGGTCATTCCATATACATTGTAGAAATATCATAAAGTAGAGGGATAATTGACCCCGTAGGCCAATAGATTGCTTTGTCCTTGTATATATGTATAAGATGAGCTTTTTATTTTTGTTATTTCATCTGCACTAAACCTTTTTGGCAGACTATGTGCAGGAGCAAGAGATGGAAATTGAAGCATTAGAAGCCATACTTATGGATGAGTTTAAAGGTTTGTAAATTTGTAATGCATTTTATGTTTGAGCATATATTGCTGAGGAGCTAAAATCCTCCATCTTCCTTTTCTTAGTTCCTGACACTAATAAATGAAGTGCTGTTTTCTCATTGATTTTGTAATGCCAGAAATTCACTCTAGTGAAAGTGGACTAAACACTTCTAATCGGTGCTTCCAAATAACAATATGTCCACAGGTACATACTGCCCTTAGTGCCATTTGCTTTTCTGTAGATTTCCAATTAATCTTAACCATTACATAGTTGAAGCTATGCCACTGTCATAAGCCTAGAGTAACAAACACTGACACAGCGTTACACTCAGAGATGGGAAATTTTTGTTGTGTTATCTACATTAGAAAGGACAATGACAATCTTATGTAGGATTTGACAAAATCAAGAAGGCAATCCTCATCTTGCTTCTTATTCTAATGTTGTTTTACGCTTTTAGAGTTTCTTGACATATTTCCTTGCTTACAGGATGATGACGCAGACGAATCAACTGCCACTCCAGGTTATTCATTTTATTTATTACAATACCTTGCAAAATTTGTTTGCTTTTTTATTACATATTTTTGTGTATACACATGTACATATTTAGTATCATTGATGCTCAATTTGTTTGCTTTTTTGGAGCTTTGTTTACTGATTTCCTACTTTAGGATACTTAAACCCCTATCATCATAAGTTGTTGCCCTCGAACTTTTGTTGCAGTTTGCTTGGCTTTAATTTTCTCACATACCGAAAATTATCCAGATGAACCACCACTTCTGAATGTGCAAAGGTTGGTAACTGCATCTTTATCATGGAGATCCTTGTGCAAGTAACATTTTTGTCCATTGTCCTTCATTGTTTTACTTTCTTTCAGCCTTTTTTCCTCTTGTTACACTTCTTGCTTTGGATAAATTTTCTGAACTTGATTATCACTTTTAAACATTTGAATAGTACAAGTGGTTTTTTAATTGCCTACAACTGCAAATTTATTTTTGGGTAAAAGAAAAAAGCATCTGTTAGTTACCTTTTTTTTTTTGTTACTTTAGTTGCAACTATGTTATAATTGGCCATTTCAGAAGCATCCGGCATGCAGTCCTCTAACATACTCTATGCCTCTTTTGATATTTGCCAAACTGTTGTCAACTTTGTGTTGTCCAAGTATAAATGGATTATTGTATTAGCCCCAGCAGCTGAGTTCCATAATGTCGCATGCTTGCAACTTGCTTTCTTATTTTATATATGTGTGTGTGTGTGTTTTAAAAAAAAACTATCGTGTTGCTCCTTTATTGCATTGTCAGTTTCTATAGAAAACCTTCTTCAGAATATTGGCTTTTCCGGCTAGAATACTGGCAAATTACATTGAATAAATCTAATATGATTTGAGATGAATGTTTGCCTTCCCTATGCCCATAATTGTGGTATTTTTCAGTTTAAAAGGAATTCAAGGAGCAGATCTTAAGATTTTGAAAGAAAAGCTTGAGCAAGAGGTAATTTTTCAAGCACTTCCTGTTTCAATTTGCTATTTGCCATTTCATTTATTTAAAATCTAGTTCAACTGTTCAAGCACATTTCTTTTGTGACAACTTTGGGCCGAAAACTTGGTATATGTGAAGTTGATTCATGCAGATTTTGACCAATACTTGTATTTTACAGGCATCTGAAAACCTTGGTATGGCTATGGTCTATACACTAGTTTCATCTGCTAAGGAGTGGCTGTGTGAAAAATTTGCACAAGATGCTGGTATGGAGAACAATGAAGATGAAGAGACAGCAAAAGATGATGTATGGTTGTGTCATGCCTATGACTCCTACTAATTGGTATATGCTATCTAAATTAAAATTTGTATACTGTTGCTGTGCCCAACACCTTTGAAGTACCATCTGCCTGCAAGATTCCAACCCTTATAATTATTAAATGCATAATTTGCTACTATAAATCATAATGCATAAAATGCGTAGTTTTTGTAGTACTATGGGCTGCTGCCATCAAGGCAACAGTACCGACACAATAGCATGAGGTTTGGGATGCGCATTTGCTATGCCCATGGGGAATGTCATCTTGGACTGAATGGCATATCAAGCTGTCTGGTGTTGAGCACCTTGTACTTTGCTGTAGGTTGGCGTAGTGTTACTTGTGAGCTACAAATAAGATGTTGCCTTTACTCGGATGGCATGCTTGTCTGATGCTATGGGCGTGCAATGGCCAATGTTGGTTGGTGGTACTTGTGTGTGCTCAAGGAGTGTGCTATGGGCATGCAAGTGACCCTCAGTGTTAGTACGGGGCAAGAGTAGCTCCTTTGTCATTTAAGATGCGCAATAATGACCTGATATGTGGTGTTTGCTTGTCGGCTAGGTCGGGGCCTATACCACTAGTGTAGGACAGTTTATGGAGTTGTGGCATATGCATTAGTTATCATGTCATGTCATGGCTTCTAGAATATATGTGGTGGTCTAGTTGTGGGTAACACTTCTGGCTGTAGTGTGGCTGGAGCCTTAATGACAAGACAGTGGAAGCCTCAATCGAGCAAGTGTTTTGCTTGTGTACATGCTAGAAAGGGTGAAGCAACGGGTTGCCTGTGTGGATGTTGATGCAGTGGGAAACACGAAATAGCAGAAGCAAGGTAACAATCTTAGAATTCATTGATTCAAAGAGAATACTGGAAGGAAGGTCCTTCTCTAGATTCATTGATTCACAAGGAATATTGAGAATAAAGGCTCAACAATAATTGATTTGAAACAATTACCCTAGGTTGGAAGAAGAGTAAAAGCTTGAAAACAACCTGAACACGCCTAGCTATTTAGTCAAAAACCTGCAATCCTTCTCTAGATTCGTTGATTCACAAGGAATATCGAGAATAAAGGCTCAACAATGGTTGATTCGAAACAAATACCCTAGGTTGGTAGAAGAGTCAAAGCTCAAAATTGTATTAATACTCTAAACAGATCAGTCATTAGGCTTACAATGGTATTTATAAGTAGAAGCAAACCTAATTTACTTGGAAATAACTGGAATTAGTAGTTCCTAAACTAGCAAAACAAATTACCAAAACTGGAAATATTGAAATAAAATAAAGAAACTACTAAGTTAGGCTGCTACGATAATATCGATTTATGACTTAGAGCATCTCCAACCCATACATCTCTATTTCTCTAATATAGAGGAAAAAAATAATATTTTTTATTCAAAAAGTGAGTTTAGAGGATCTTATTATTTATAACAACTCCAATCATACATCTCTATTTCTTCAAAAATTTGAACTTTTTCTCACTTTTCTTTCAAATTTTACCCAGTTTTTCTCCAAAATTTAAATTATTTTATTTAATTTTTTGTTAAATATAATTAATATTGGTGTCATTTTAAAGGTATTGTTAATATCTTTTTAATGAAACTAATTTTATAAATATTGAATATACATATTAAGTTATAAAGACAAAATTAAAGATCAAAAAAGAGTAAATAGTGTTTTAGAGTGATCCTCCATTTTTTCATCCTCCCTCTATATTTGGAGGATCAATTCATCCTCCTCCATTTGGGAGGAAGATATAGAGGATGGGTTGGAGTTGTTTTTGGGAGAGGATCCTCCATATTTGAAGATATGGAGCATGCATTGGAGATGCTCTTATATACTAAGAGTAGTTGAAGTTGCAAATCTTTCCAAAAATGGCAAAATCTTGAAACTGACAGCCTAAATGATAGAATTCGCCCAAAATCCAATGGGGTCCTTGGCTTAGCGATGGATCTTGATCAAAATGACATTTTCCATCAACCCACCCAAGGTTTTAAAAAGCGGCCGCAACCGTTACGTAACGCCGTTACGTAACGGTTTTGGTGGTTATCGCCACCCGTTACGGCCGCTTTTGCAGTGTGATTGACATTCATAGGTGTGTCGGTTGTAGCGGCTGCCGTAGCGGTCGTAACGGCCTGTTACACACCGTTACGTAACGGTTCCGAACTGTTTCTTTTCAAAAAACACACAAAAAAAAGCTAAAAATGGTGGAAGAGAGATAGAGAGAAGTGGGAAGATAAAGAGAGGAGATGGAGGAGCAAGAGATAGAGAGAGAAGAGGGAAGATGAAGAACATATTATTGATTTGTTGAAACTGTAAAACCTATGATATTCTATTCAGCTGCTATCACTCAACTATTTTATTTGCGGCTATTTGGCTAAAAAGGTAGGTAAAAAAAACTTGTATATTTGGGATGACTTTTTGGCTAATTACGAAAAGATGTGCAAAAAGTAGAGAGAAAAGAGAATCTTTGACTTTTTGGTATGAGTTGTTGGCTTTTTAGCTAATTTAGTAACTTTTTGGCTAATTGGCTAAAATAGCCTCTTGCCAAACGAGGCCTAAGAGTAGTTGAAGTTGCAAATCTTTCCAAAAATGGCAAAATCTTGAAACTGACAGCCTAAATGATAGAATTCGCCCAAAATCCAATGGGGTCCTTGGCTTAGCGATGGATCTTGATCAAAATGACATTTTCCATCAACCCACCAAATTTCACACAATTATGAGCATGAGTTGTTTGACGCCTATTGTCTTTTGCCTTGTTTGGCCTCATGCCTATCCATTTGATGTAAAAATTGCATGGTCAAGCACGCTACATCAGATATGCAACTTGGACAAACATCTCTACGGGTGACATTTATGTTGTTTTGGTCATTAAAGCTTATGGGCCTTCTTAATGACAAAATAGATGATCTTGAAGACTATGGCGGTCATGGACTTTGTGGAGTGTAGGGGCGTCATGAGCTATTTTGTTAAATGAAAAGTCAGCCCTTTAAACTAAAGCACTATATACGTTAGCCTTAGTTGACATGACTATTATGGGCCGGCTCTTTTAGAGGCGCAGCAGAACATTTTTGCCCGTGAGGCACTTGAACTCCACCAAGTGTCAAGCGCGCCTAAACTCTTCTTGACCATCGAGTGTTGAATCTTAACCCGTCTTGTCAAATGCAAGCCTAATGCTATGTCTAGCAAGAACAACTCCTACATGGAAGCTCTGGCTTCCATGCCGCAAGTGGACTAGACGTCCACAACTGTATCTTGCACGGCCTATAAAGCACGGACACCTCTCCGGAGGCAATGTATGGGTGTCCGACATGTGTTGGACATGGACACGGGGTGGACATGTGTCGGGCACTCTATCTTGCGTGTCTCCCCCCCCCCCCCCCCCCCCCCCCCCCTTTTTTTTTTTTTTTTTTTTTTTTTTTGAATTTCTCCAGTCGGACAAGCTTAGGACACCCTTGGACACGTAATGGACATGTTGGAGACAGAGAGAAACCCTAACCCATTGAAGAAAGACAGAGAAAAACCCTAACCCATCGAAGAGAGAGAGAGAGAGAGAGAGAGAGAGGGTGAGGAACCTGTTGAAGCCCTAGATTGAGGTATGTTCTTCTTTTCTTCATTTTTCTTCTTTGTTCTGCTTTTTCTTTCTTTGTTTTTGTTCGTCTCTCTCTGTATGTCTTTGTGTTCGACTGTCTCTCTCGCTATGTGTGTTTGATTGTCTCTCTCATTGTCTCTGTGTTCGACTCATTCTCCTCTTTCTCTGTATTCGACTTTTTCTCTTCGTTTCTTTTTTATTTATACTTTTTTTTTGGAACAAAAATCTTGTTTTTCCCTTTTTTTCTTTTTTTTCTTTTTTTTTCTATTTTTTGGATATTTTTGATGAATTTGATTATTTTTAGTTGTAAAAAAAATTAATTTGTGAATGATATTTGTTTTTAAAGTAAATAAAATAAATACATAAATAAATAAATAATATATACTTTTTAATTTTACATATAATAAATCAAATTATATATATTGAGCATGTCCACAGCGTGTCGTGCTCTGTGTTTTTTTAAAATTTGCTTGTCCGCATGTCGTGTCCTGTGTCCAAGTTTGTGCATCATAGCGCACGGCTCATGTTGCTTCATGGCACCAAACTCACCCTTGAGCAAGGCTCTCGCCTAATTAATGTTCAACTCAATCAAGGTGTCCCCCTGTCAGCGTGATACATAACTAACCTAACACAATGTTGCTCAACTGTGCACCGAACTAGAACCCTCAATTTAGTTGACAAGCTTTCCCTCTTTTAAATACAGTCTCTTGTTGCGCCATCTCGGATAGCCATAGGTGATTGAGGTCGCATGCGCGGCCACAACTCAAATCCTTATGCACGCATTGGTATGCTAAACCATCCACCAAGGGTCATTGCGCACCTGAGGCGTTGCACTAGCCTGTAGCATGAGCATGACAACATATGTCAATAGCCCACAATTAGCATTCCGCCGTCCCACATGCTCCAAACAATGTGCCTCGTGTTATGGCAATGCTTCATGACATTCAATTGCTCCCACGAGTAGTGGCGTTGTCACCAAACTGCGAGTTAGGTTACATGACCCTCGTGTTCACGGCTGAACCCAAGCCTATGTTGACAAGTTGGCACATGAGGCCTTAATGATGGCCTGCCTTGATAGCCAATTTGTTCGATCCAAGACGACACCACAATATTCTACAATGAGCGGCATAGCGAGTGCATGCCGAACCTCTTGTTAGGAACTAGCGCACAGTATCAACACTCATGCCCCTCGATGACACTGTCCTTGGGGTTCCCAAACCCACATGGAGACCAAAGACAACTCTCAATAGTATGTCAAGAGGCCCGCCTTGTGGTTGTCCACAGGTTACTCATTTGTAACCCATCACAGGTTGGGGAGACAGTCTTAAGCACACCATGCCCCCTTATAATAGCATCTTAAGCCCTTTTCTGTCTGGTACTAGGAAACATCCCCACACGTTTGA